TCTGTGGGTGTCTCTGTGGGTGTCTCTATGGGTGTCTTTCTGTGGGTGTCTCTGTGGGTGTCTCTGTGGGTCTCTCTGTGGGTGTCTCTCTGTGGGTGTCTCTGTGAGTCTCTCTGTGGGTGTCTCTGTGGTGTCTCTCTGTGGGTGTCTCTCTGTAGGTGTCTCTCTCTGTGGGTGTCTCTCTCTGTGGTGTCTTTCTGTGGTGTCTCTCTCTGTGGGTGTCTCTCTGTGGGTGTCTCTCTCTGTGGGTGTCTCTCTCTGTGGGTGTCTCTCTCTGTGGGTCTCTCTGTGGGTGTCTCTCTGTGAGTCTCTCTCTGTGGGTGTCTCTCTGTGGGTGTCTCTCTGTGGGTGTCTCTCTGTGGGTGTCTCTGTGAGTCTCTCTGTGGGTGTCTCTCTGTGGGTGTCTCTCTCTGTGGGTGTCTCTCTCTGTGGTGTCTTTCTGTGGTGTCTCTCTCTGTGGGTGTCTCTGTGGTGTCTCTCTGTGGGTGTCTCTCTGTGGGTGTCTCTCTCTGTGGGTGTCTCTGTGAGTCTCTCTGTGGGTGTCTCTGTGGTGTCTCTCTGTGGGTGTCTCTCTGTGGGTGTCTCTCTCTGTGGGTGTCTTTCTGTGGGTGTCTCTCTCTGTGGGTGTCTTTCTGTGGGTGTCTCTCTGTGGGTGTCTCTCTGTGGGTGTCTCTCTCCATGGGTGTCTCTGTGGGTGTCTCTCTGTGGGTGTCTCTCTGTGGGTGTCTCTCTCCATGGGTGTCTCTGTGGGTGTCTCTCTGTGGGTGTCTCTCTGTGGTGTCTCTCTCTGTGGGTGTCTCTCTGTGGGTGTCTCTCTCTGTGGGTGTCTTTCTGTGGGTGTCTCTCTATGGGTGTCTCTGTGGGTCTCTCTGTGGGTGTCTCTCTCTGTGGTGTGGCTCTTTGTTCAGTTATTCCTTTGTTCATTTATTTCCTCCCACTTCCCCGGCCGGGGCTCCCCAAGGACAAAGCAATCCGTCTTGGAAGAAGTACAGCCAGAATCCCCTTCGAGGTGAGGATGGTGAGGAGGACGGAGAGACCTGTCCCCGGAGAAGGACATCGTGCTTGGGGAAGCAGAGGGGCAGCAGAAAAGGGGAAGGCCCCCCACGAGATGGACGGCTGCGATCGTGGGCTGGACATGACAGTGGCGAGGCTGACACAAGACGGGGTGGTGCTTCATTCTGCTGTGAGTCAGAACCGGGTGGACAACACCCACCAGCAACCGACATACAACGGTAATTGTATGTATCTGCCACTGTCGTGAGGTACACGTGCCCGTCTGTTCAGCCCACCCTCCACAGACAGGCATTTGGGTGGACAGTGCTGCAAACCCCGGGGTGTCCGACCAGGCTCCTGCTTTCTTTCTTTGGGGGTACAGACTGAGTGGAGCGTTTTCAGGGTTGTATGGTATTCCTATGTGTGTTTGCTCATGTAAACGCCCAACTATTTCCCATGGTGGCTGTACAATTCTGCAGTCCCACAGCAGCGTGGGAGGGTCCCTGGCTCCCCACACTTTCTCCAGCTTTTGGTATTTTCTGTGTCTTGAATTTTGCGGGCGGTTGGCGCCTGTGTCTTCCTCCGCCCGTCTCTTACAGCTACGCGATCGCCAGCATTTATTTCTGCATGATGGTTGGCCACCCGGATTTCCTCTTTGGTGAATCGTCTGCCCGTTTCTGATTGGAGTATTTTTGTGTGTGCGTTTTAATATTGAGGTATTGCAGTTTTCTGTAGATGCTAGAGATTAGTCCTGCACCCCCAGTGTCGTTGCCAATCCCCATGCCCAGTCTGTGGGTTCTCCTTGGACTCTTTTGGTGAAGTGTTTGGATACGTACAAACGTTGGACCCTGCGTTCTGTAGTGTGGGTGTTTTTCAATAGGTTGGGTGGTGTGCTTAGGTCTTGTATTAGGGGCCCTTAAGTGTGGCCCTGTGTTTTCATGGATGATGTTATGATTCTAGGGTTCATATTGAAGCCTTTTGTCCATCTTGAGCTGGCCTGTGTCCATGGCGCTGTGGCAGTCTCATCATCTCCTGTCAACTTGGGAAGGGGTGAAGTCTAGCTTGTCAATCAGGTCACACGCAGCTTGATGGCCTCATGTGGAGGCATAGCTCACTGGCGGCCAGACCCTTTCTGCTTCGTCTTCCTGCTGACAAGACACATGGAGCCATGCTAGAGCCCTGGAGCTGGAGGAGCCACGTGGAGACCCACGCCAGCGCTGAGATGCTTCCACTGCCTCTGGATCCACAAGACTTTCCAGCATGTGTTGTGTGAGTCTGAAGAGGAATTTATAAATTAGTATCGGACATATGGGCTGATATCGGACTTTTGGACTTGATCTGGACTGGGCTGGGATGTTTTCCTAATATACAATGACTCTTGGATAGAGAGCTCTTTCTTACACCCAGATGCGTCTCCCTGGAGTTGTTTCTCTAGTCACCCCAGACTAACACAGGTGTGAAATCAGGGTCCCGTTTCGTTCTTTGCCTGTGAAGATTCAATTTTGCCGGCACCACTTGTTGAAAAGACGGTCTCTTCCCCGTAGGCGTGTTTCAGTTCTCAGCCCAAATCAGGGGTCTGAAGGTGCTCAGTTTTATTCCTGGGCTCTCCGTTCCGATCCACTGGTCTACATATCTGTCACCGTGCCAGCCCCAAGCTGCTCTGCCGCGGCAGGGTTTTAACAGCAGGGGGGAGAGGCTTCCAATTTGCTTCAGGTTTTTAGTCACGTTTCATGTATCCTGGGTGTCTTTCCTCTCCATAGAAAGTTAGTGATTCGTTTTCCCATTTCTTTGGAGAGTCCTGACGGAATGTGGATTGGAATTGCATTTTATTCAAAGAGGACTTTAGGTGACATCAACGTTTTCACAATATTAAATCTTCCTATCCAGGAACATGGCACATGCTCTCCCTTACGCAGGTCTCTTTTGCGTCTGGTAGTCGTGTTTTGTAGTTTTCTTTGTACAACTCTTTTGTTTCTCCGGTTAGGTCTGTTCCTCAGTATTTAATCTTTGGGGTGGTTTTTGTTGCAAAGGGTTTTCTTTGTTTTTTATTTCCTCTTCAGAGTCCTCTTCCTTAATAGACAGGAACCCTATTGATTTTTTTGCAAGTCGCTCGTACAAATTGCCAACTTCTTAAATTAGTTCCAGTAATTTTCTTATCAATTCTTTGGGGTTTTCTACCCATAGAGCAGTGGTTCTCAACCGTCCTAATGCTGCGATCCTTTAATACAGTTCCTCATGTTGTGGTGACCCTCCAGCACAAAAAAATTATTTTTGTTGCTACTTCATAACTGTAATTTTGCTACTGTTAATGAATCGGGCAACCCCAAAGGGGTCGCGATCCACAGGTTGGGAACCACTGCTATAGAGTCTTAACGATTTGCAAACACCGTTTCACTTCTTCTTTGCCACTTTGGACACCTTTAACACCGTTTTAATGTTTTGGCTCAGACCTCTAGTGTTCTGTTAAATAAAAGGTGTGGTAAAGGGCATCCTTGTAGGGCGCTGTTTAGCTCCACAGGGCAAAATGCTGGCCATTGGTTTTCCTTACGTGGCATCTGTTATGACCATGCGGAGGCACTGAACTGGGTGGACCATAAAACGATGTCGAGTAACCCGGGAAGAATGGGAATCCCAGCGCCCTGCGCTGAGCTCGCGTGGAACCGGTACCTGGGTCCAGGGGCAGGTGTGCAGACAGAGCGAGGGAACAGCGCATGGTTTCAAGGCAGGGCGGGCGTGCGTCAGGGCTGTATGCCCTCACCATGCTTGTCCAGGCGGTGCGCTGAGCAAGTCGCCAGAGAAGCTGGCTTTGAGGGAGAAGAGGTGGCATCAGGATCGGAGGGAGGCGTGTTGACCTGCGGTGCGCAGGGGCACAGCCTCGCCCGCCCAGAGCGAGGGGAGGGAAGCCCTCGCTGATGAGGACGGAGTGCGGCAGCCGGTCAAGAAGACCAGCATTGTCACGGGGCCCTCCGCACGCGCCGCCCACTCACCTGAGGGAAAGCCCGAGGCCACCTTGACCAGGAACACAGGCAGCACTCCTGGCAGCAGCAGCAGGCGGGTGATGGCCTTCAGGTCAAACACGCCGGCCTTGGGCTTGCCTGGGGAGCACGGAGCGGTCAGCGGCCGTGTCCAGGGCCGCCCACCATTCTGCCTTTCTCTGGCCCCTGATGTGGCCACAAGCCAGGGACGCCTGGGGTCAGTGGGAGCTGGATGAGGCAGGGAAGCCCTCAGGAGGAGGGAGCCCACTGACAGCCTGGCCTGGCTCGGGTGCTGCTCTGGGCTGGTCCCCTCTCGTCCTTTCCATTCCACTGAGGGCAGTCCTTTGCTCAGTACCCCCAACCCCGACCCCATCCCACACACACCAGGTCCTCGTCTGGTGGGACCCCAGCCTGCCTGACCCTCCCCATGTCCTTGGAGACAAGGACCACCCAGCAGGGTCACCCTGAGTGAGTTCAAAGGAGAGTGGGTATGGGGGTCCCCCTCATGGAGCTCTGCCCCATTCTGCAGGGACCCCCCAGTCAGGAGCCTTGTCCAGGGGCTGCCCCTGGTGTGCTGGTGTGCACACAGGGAGGCTCCAGGTGGGCTTACCTTGTGGGGTGGGTCCCTTGGTGTTGGCTGGGAGGCAGGTGAAACTCAGGGCGGCTCCCAGGAGGTTGGCTGTGAGCGCCACCAGAATGGGGCAGTGGGTCCTGGGAGGGGCAGTTGGTCAGCTGGGATGGCCAGCTCGGGAGATGCCTGCACTCCCTGCCCTCCTGCCTGCCACCCTCCAGGAGCCTTCACCCCAAGGAGACATCCGTCTGGCCTCCGGGTCCCCACAGCGAGGCCGAGGTGGCCTGGCCACTCGGGACAGGTCACTCAGGATGCGCGTGGCCCTCATGCTGTGGTCACTGCTCTGCTTAGGAGTGCACCCTGCACCCCAAGGTCAGTGGACAGCAGAGCCAGTGGCGCAGGGCTACCAACGGGTAGGAAAGACCCTATAACTTCCCCTGGGGCAGTGGGGCTGATGCTCCTGCCTGGGGAAAAGGGGTCAGGGCCCTGCCCGCCCGGTCTTAGCCCCAGGCTACAGACGGAAACACTGAGGCTCTCTGGGAAGGGGCCTGCCCTCCAGTGCCCACACACATACATGCACATGTGTGTACACAGACACGGGCCCTCACATGCATGTGTACACCCCGCCCCCACCCCCCCAGGTCTGGTAGAGTAGGACCAAGCAGGTTATTGTAGCCGAGAGCCCATCTGGCCTCCATACTGCCCTTGGGGTGTGTGTGTGGGGGGGTATGTGTGTGTTGACCCTCCCCTGTGGTCACTCTGGGGCACACTGTCCCCATTGCAAGACACTCCAGAATAACTGGCAGGCAGGGGTGGAGGTGACCCTAGGGAGGGTCACACAGGCTCAGGGCTGTCCTGGGCCTGGTGGGCTTCTCCCCGCCCCCCTAGAGGAGCCCTTTCTTCTGGACTGCACCTCCCCCCACCCCCCCAACCCCAGGCATGCACGTCACTGCCCGGCTGGCGAGGACAAAGACGCTTTCTCTGTCAGATGCCCCGGAGAGTCCAGGGGCAGAGGCGGCCACTTAGACGGCTATTTTAGGAGTCTGGCGACAAGAGGGGCAGGCAGGACGTCATCTGTCGTCTGTCACCCTGGGTGGCAGCCGGCTGCCCGGAAGCTAGCACTGCCCTCTGGGCCAGCAGAGCCCTGGCATGGGGACCCTGGCAGACTGGGGCAGTGAGGGTCACCGAGCCAGTGAGGAGTCGGCGATCCTCCCCCCACAAACATGGTGCCCCAGAGGAGAAAGGTGGGGTTCCGAGGGGACAGCGGCAGACCAGGCCCCTGCTCCTTGGGGTCTCTCAGCGGGAAGCCCTTCCCAGCCGTGCGCCGGGGGTGGGCAACTGAGTCCCTGCCCACTCGACCAAGCATACTGGCAGTCATCCTCTCAGGGAGACCCCCTCCTCCGAGCCCTTCCTCCTGTGACTCAGGCACGCGGGGGCTCCAGACCCCCGCCCGCTCTGGCAGGCTCCCCGGTGTCTCCAGCAAGGAGCCCCCATGACACAGTGGTTAAGCTGCTAACCCAAGGGTCTCCCCCCCCCCCCCCCCACCCACCCCCCGTGAGCTCCTCACGGTGCCGAAGGGCACGGAGTTCTCCCGGGGACGACTAAGGGTGGCCCCCGCCTTCATCCACCTGCGAGAAATGGGTGGGGTAGACAGAGGGAGAATGGTGCCTGTCAATCGGGGTCCCGGGTGTGGGTGAGAGGGGCGGGGTGGAGACTCCCGCCAACCATCCAGAACACCTGTCTCGGGAAAAGCAGGGCCAGAGGCCAGATCACATGCGGGCCAGGGAATGGCCCAGGTGGGGGCAGCCGTCTCTCTCCAGGCCCTCCGCCACCCCCTAGAATGGCAGCCAGACGCCCTCTGGGGTGGTTCTGCTCTGTCACCGGGGTCACCCCAGGGGTGCAAAACTCTGGGGATGCTGGGATTCCAGTGGAAACTCCTGGACCGACTGAGCGGCCATGACGTCATTCAGACCACCCCAGGGGACCTGGAAGTGGCTGGTCCGGCCGGAGCACCCGGGCAGCAGAGTAGTTTCATCTCGAGGGCCACCCCAACCTGCTGTTTCTCAGGTGACAGCTCTTCAGGGGCTCAAAGTCCCCTCCCCTTCTGCTCCACATGGCTCATGTCACCCAGTTGCCACCCTGGGCCTGTGGGACCCCAGGCTTGGCCGCAGCCTGTTGCCAGGAGCTGCCCCTCCAGCTTGACCCCCAGGTGGCCCCCAGCGTTTCATCACATGGCACCAGTGGGGCATGAAGCACAGCCATCCAGCCTGGACCACGAAGGAGGACATGCCCTGCCCGGTGTCCACAGTGGAGACCCAGAGCCACTCGGGAGTCATGCCTGCCTCTGGCTTCAAGGGCCCAGAAAACGGCTCCCATGCCCTGCCCACCACTCTCGGCCACTGGCTGCCCAGCACTGGGCACAGGGAGGTGCTTCGTCCCAGGGCCTGTGCGTCTCTCATGGCTGTTGATGACTGACCAATGTGTCAAACCCTCCCCTACCCCCCAACACCCCCACACACAAGCCCAGGCAGCCCGGCTGTCAATCACTGAGCTATAGGCCAGGCTGCCGGTCAGCCCAAGCTTCCGGTGCAGGAAGGGGATCCCATGGACTCCCTGAGTCTGAAGGGCCCTGCTATGGTTCCCAGACCCTACAAGGCGGCAGGGGTGGGGGGGCTGCACCACAGAGAGCCAGCAGCACCTGCTCTGATCCAGGTGTGAAAATGGACACCCTTCTGTGCCCACCGGGGCCGTAAGGTCCCAGGATGGCCCCCCTTGCACCCCTGCCATCACTCCCCTGAAGCCCCCTTGCTGGCTTCCTGTAAGCCAGGGTGTCCCAACCGCAGGGGGACAGGCCTCCCAGCCCTCTGCTGTCCTGCCGGACACTGTGTTTCTCACAGTGCGCCTCTGCCTCTGTCTCAGTGGCCCCTCCCCGCCCTTGATGGCCCAGCCTGTGGGGAGCGCAAGGCTTTAGTCACGGGGCCCAATCCCCAGTAGGCCGTGGTGGGAGGGCCTTGAGCGAGACCCCCTGACCCCAAGGCGGGGTGATTCCCAGCCCCGCCCCCAGACCCAGCAGCTCAGGGAGGGGCTCAGCCTCTCTGGGGCCTGCTTCCCCACTCACTGAAGGAAATGCCAGCAAGGGCACCCACGGGCGAGAAGGCGGTCTCAAGTGGCCTGTGACACACCTTCCGTGGACCGTGGGACAAAAGGAGGCAGGGATGCATGTGGAATGTTCTGGAAGGTGGAGGACCTGGTAGGGCCTCTGGGAGGCGGTGGGAGCTGCAGCTGGGGTTGAGCAGACCCTCAGGCCGCCCTCACCTCACGACCAGTCCCCAGGCTTCCCTGGGAGAGGGAGGCCTTTCACAGGCAAGGCGCGAGGCCGGCCGGGAGCAGGTAAGTGCCCAGGCCAGCCGATATGCCTGGCGGGCAGTTCTGGCGGGACGGGTGTTCAGCCCTGGCCTGTGCTCTGGCCTGATGGGGCAGTCCCAGGATGGACAGGCATCAGCGGGGACAAGTCCAGGCCTGCCAGACCTGAGGGAGCTGACCCAACCCACTCAGCCTTGGTCATTGTTCCCACGGACGGATCCGCACTGGGCAGGCCACAGTCCCTAGGCTCCTGTGTAGGGCTACAGGGACAGTGAGCAGCCACGGTCACCAGGGCTCTAGGCTACCTGGGGAGGGATTCTCAGGGCAGTGATTGACATAGGTGATAGATTTGTCCACACTCACAGGGCTGTACCACGTATCGGCAGCTGTCCTGTCCACCCACCGGGGCCTGCGGTCACCAACTGTGCTGACTAGTGTCTGTCCAGTGGATTATGACTCACGGTGGCTGCCCAGGAATCTGAGCAGAACTGGGCCCCTCAGGGCCCACGAGGCTGTGACCAGCCACCACCAGGTGTGGCTTTGAACTGCCAACCTTTCACCTAGTAATGCAGTGCTTAACTGTGTGTGCCACCAGGCACTTGTTTATATCCATCCATATATACCCAAACCTGGAGCCCAGAGCCACCGAACCCACATGGACTCACAGCGACCCTGCTGGGCAGAGTCAAACTGCCCCGTGGGGCTTTCCTGGCTGGGAAACCAGAACACATGCTTCTTTCTCCCTCCGATCGGCTGGTGGGTTTGAACTGTGACATTTCAGTGAGCAGCCCAGCACTTAACCCACTGCACCACCAGGACTTAATATCTCCTTACGTGTGTACATACAAAACATACATACACATGGATACAAAAACCAGTCTCACTGCCATCAAGTTGACTTGGACTCATAGTGGGTAGAACTGCCCTACTGTTTACAGGACTGGAAAGCCTCATCTTTCTCCCAAGGAGCGGCTGGTGGTTTCAAACTGCTGACCTTGCAGTTAGCAGCAGCCCAATACATAACCATTACACCACCAGGGTTCCCGACATACACACATGCTTATATCTGAACGTAAACATACGTGTATACACACACACACATATATGGTGAGCTGCTAACAGCAAAGTCAGCAGTTCAAACCCATCAGCTGCTCCGGGGGAGCAAGAGGAGGCGGTCTGTCTGCTCCTGTTAAGATTTGCTCTCAGGAAAAATAAAAAATAAAAAAGGTTTGCTCTTCGACAGGGAGGTGAATGGTGCTGTGAGCACGCAGACAGCATTGCAGAGTGGGTGAGGGCAGATGCAGTCAGGTTCAAATGCAACACCTGAGCATCTGATCGCCCTTTAGACCCATTTTAAAGTTGTCCTAGTTTTTAGTATTTTCTGTCTTCTTTTCTATTGAGGGCTTCCTCTAGTTTATGCTGTTATTGCTACTAGCTTTTCTGCCTCTTTGGGTTTTTTCGTTTTGCATATTTTTCGGTATATGAAACCCAGGCTGGGTAAAGCTATAGACACAGGAACTGGATGAATGGTTTCTGGGGGGCATGGTGGGGAGGTTGCAGGGAAATGGGGAGCTAATAACAAGGAGTACAAGAAAGAAAAACATGCTCTAAAATGGATTGTGGTAATGTGTGCCAATCTTCTCGATATGACTGAAGTATGAATTGTAGGATACATGGATTATGTCCCAATAAAACAAAAAAGCCAAAGATTTGGTCTGGGAACTCGGGTTGCTCTGAGTGGGAAAGGCAGTGCGCATGTGAACCGTGTTCAGCACTGAGCCTCCCTCCCCACTTGGCTGGTCACAATGTATCGAGACGGCGCTTCAATCATAACCAGGTTGCCAGCAGACGTGACTAACAATGTAACCAACCATGTAACTACCAGAAGAAGCTGTGTGTGTGTGTGAACCATGTAACTACCAGAAGAAGCTCTGTGTGTGTGTGTGTGTGTGTGTGTGAGAGAGAGAGAGAGAGAGAGAGAGAGTGCTCGCGAGAGGCTGGAGGGGAGAGCAAGGGGAGGTGTCTCCGCTTGTGGCACAAATAATTTTCCTGAAAGCCCCAAACTGCTTGCTGCTAAGAAATAAAGTCTATTAAGGAAAAAGAAACAGGAGCATCGCCCTCCAGAGGGCGAATGGCGCCGGCAGCCAGACCTGCCCCTCAGTTCCAGAACCTCCAAGCCCCCACTTGTCGATTCCACTGCCTCCTCCACGTGGCCCTGGAGCGCCTGCCAGCATTAGCCCCGTGTCCCCCATGACCCTGGGAGCAGCAAAGCTCACCCACCCTGGGCACCATTGCAGGTGGGGCAGATGCCTGAGCAGAGCCTCTGCCCCAACACCCCAGCCCCAAGCTCAGCAGGCACACGCCTGCTTCAGGACCTTGGCATAGGAGCCTGCCCCCATCCCCATGTCCTCTCCCTAACCTCTCTGGTCTCGTCCCAACTGTCCCCTGCTCAGAAAGGCCTTGGCTGCTCCCTGTCCGCACAGCCCTTGGCCCTGTAGAGAGGTGTACGCAGACGCACTAGGCAGGTCACTCGCTGCCTGACCCCTGCAGCACCTGGCAGGGGAGCGAGAGTCACAGGTTGGGCCCAGTCCCCTCCCAGCTCCCTGCTCCCGCAGCGGAGGCCGTGACCTGCACAGAGCTTCACATTCCTCTACCCGGGCCCTTCAGAGAGTCTGGAGACCCACGAGGCCTCAGGGAGTCCCTGGGGAAACATAGGCTTCCAGAGGCCCAGGCACTGGCTCAGGGCCTCACATGTAAGGTGCTCTAGGGGATGTGGGGGCAGGGCATTAGGAAGGGTGGCTGGTGGCCAGCGGGCATTGAACCTGGATAGGAAGTGGGCAGGGCCTCTGCTGGCAGCCAGCACCCCTTCCCTATCAAAGGCTTGGGTGGCACCAACGCCAGGGGCAAGGTCCATTCATGTGGGTGGCTCAGGCCTTTCCTGGGCAGGTAGGGTGGGGGTGGAGGCATGGAGAGCTGGCAGCAGCGGAAGTGACACCTTTCCCCTGGGCAGCGAAGGGTTCAGGGCGTGGGTCCACCCTCTGGACACCCTGTGTCCCCTCCCAGGAGCCTCTGGGGCCACCAAGACCCACAGGACAGGGCATGAGGGTTGGCAGGGCCCCGGCTTGGGCAGTACAAGGATGAAGGGGGGTGGGTGGGTGGTGGTAGTGCCCTTGGCTTCACACATGAGCCTACTGGGTCCTCCTTGTGTGCAAGCTACTCTCAGAGGTGAGGAGACCGCCCTGCCAGAGGACCCCTCAACCCCTGCCCCTCCCACCCCTGCTTCCGAGCCCCCCACCCAACTTTGCTGTCTCCGAGCACAGATGGGGCCACCTCAGTCCTCCCGCTGCCCTCAGCCCTCGCCTGCCCCACGCAGGCCCCGCCCAATACCCACAGGGCCTGTAGCCCGGCCCCCTCAGCCACCGGCTCACCATTTGCTCAGGCCTCGCCCCACCCCGCCCCGCCCCTCCCCGCCCCGCCGGCCACTCACCCACACATGCCACTCAGGGTCCCTCCCAGCAGGGAGCCGAGGATGAGGCCGACACCGAAGCAGAGACCCAGCCGGCCTAGGGCCGTGGGCCGATCCTCGGGCGGGGACAGGTCCGTGATGACCATCTGGGCAGCTGCAGGAAGGTTGGGGGGCTGAGTGTGTTGCTCCGCCCCGCCTGCAGGGTCCCGCCCCCAGTGCCCTCGAGACCACGCCCAACACCTCTCACCCATACCCCTGACCCCGCCCCTCGAGCTAGGCTACACCCCTCCAGTGCCTCTCACCTGCAACTAAGCCACTCCTCATGTCAGTCCTCAATGGCAGGCCACGCCCACAGCTATTACCCCGCCTCCTGGGTTAGGTCACGCCCCAGGTCATTACCCCGCCCCGGAGTCACGCCACGCCCCCACACCATCTGCCCCTCCTCCCCAAGCTCCGGAGCTCAGGCCCAGCCCCAGGCCCCACCCCCACCCCACGGGCCACCTGCCTACCTGGCATGGCGTGCATGAACACGCTGGGCAGACGGGAGAGGAAAAGCAGGACCACACCGGGCAGGGCCGGGCTGCAGGCAGCCGCCATGAGCAGGTAGAGCGTTGAGGCCGCCAAGAAGGACAGTGTGAACGCGGCCCGTGCCCCGCGCTGGTCTGCGAACCTGCGCCCGGGCATGGGGTCAGCTGGGTAGGGTTCCACCCCTGAACCCCACGGACTGCAAGCCCCACCCTAGCACCCCTCAGAGTGGGAGCCCACCCCTGCACCCTTCACAGACTGGGAACCCCCACCCTTGCCAGCCACCAGTCTGGGGACCCTCACCCCTGCCACCCATCAGATAAAGGTCCTGCTGGCATCTGCCGCCCCAGGCCATCAGTGGGCCCTCCACCTCTCCAGAGCTCAAGGAGAGGTTGGGAGGGGGACAGGGCAGACCTCCCTCCTCTGGCCTCAGTTTCCCCTCCTCCCTGCACTCCTGGGGGCAGTGAGCTGGATTCTGCACAAAGCAAGTGTAGGCTTGCAGGAAATCCTGCCAGGCTGAAGCTGGGACCCTCCCCCAGGGCTCTTTCTGGTGGGCATGGACCCCCAGGCCCCCCTCATACCATACGGCCTCCATGAGGAGGATCCTCCCCAACGTCACCCTAAAGATTGGAGTGCTGCTCACAGTGATGCCATGTGGCTGCTGTGTCCCGGAGACCAGGGGGGGTGCGGGCCACGGTCCCTGGGAGGCCCTGCCTGCAGCCTCTGCATGTCCCTGAACACCTTCAGTAAGAGCTGCCGGGGGCCTGTCCTGGGCGTCCACTGAGGGTCACTGTTAGAGCCTTCCTGGACGTGTGTGTGCTCGCAGAACTTGGGGGTGGGGGTGGGGGCAGGTTACTCATCTGTGGTCAGGTAGCAGGGGTGAAGTGGAGAGCCCGCCTCTGAGGGGTGGGTGAGGATACCCTGAGTAAGCCCTGGGTCACCCCACCCCTCGGTACCTGCCGAACACGGGCCCGCCCAGCAGCTGGAGCACCCCGAAGGTGGTCTGCAGGTAGCCGAAGGCCACGGAGTCCAGGCCCAGACTGCGGGCCAGGTACTGAAACACAGGACACCCGTGGGAGGGACTGGGCATCGTTCCTGAGAGGCCGCATGGGGAAGGTGATATGCGGTCAATTGTCCAGGCCACCTGTGACCTTTAGGAGGTGACATTGCCAGCAGGACAGGGGCCTGTTTTGGTGACTCTTGGCCAAAGCTTATCCTCCAGGCTTTTGTGTCCCCCTCCCTCCACAGGTGAGCCGGTGTACCCCCTCGCCGCTGGACCACTCACCCTCTTTCCCATCTCTGAGGATCAGTCCCACCACCTCTCTGAGCAAATTCCCCCCTCTTCCCGCTTCCCCCTCCTCACTGTGAGAGCCCCACTTGCCACTATCCCACCTGCCCACCCCTCCATCCATCCCAGCCTCTGGCCGCCTTCAGGCCACCTTCAGGTCTGGGCCCTCCCAGTCCCCACCTCCTGCCACCTCCCTCCACTTCACCTGTCCTTCACACCAGCCAAGCTCCATCTAGAGGGGCCAGCGCACATCTCCCTGCCTCCATCCGGCCCCACCCTCTCCTGGAGGAAGGGGGCACCCGGGTGCTTCCTTCCGGCATACTCCCTTCCCCTCTCTGCCCTCCTTCTAGCCCCACTTCGGCCCATCCCTCAGAAGTATGCACCTCTGAGCTGTTGAGGTCCAGAGGGACCCCAGAGCCAGGCCCTCTCTGCCGGACAAGGGTCCACCCCACTGTCCACCACTCCTGAGTCTGAAAGCAGCTCCAGGGCCAAGTGTGGCCACAGCGGCGCTCCCAGCACCCCCAGGCTGGACTTGCTTACAGCCACCCCATCCTGAGTGGTCCTCGGTCTCCCTCACCACACCCACACCGAGTCCCTCAGCACCCTCAGCTGATCCACACCCCAACTCCCAGCTCCCTGTCCTTCCAGCTCTCCACCCGGATCCCTCAGCCCCTGGTCCACCTTGCAGCCCAGGTCCGGAGTGGCAGTGTGACTCATATGTCACAATGAATCCTTCCGTCCGCCAGGACACAGTCACCGTCCCTGACTGCAGGCCTGAGCCAGCTGCAGCGGCCATCTGAGCCCCGTGCACCCCTCCTCACCTTATAGGCCCTCACCCCTGGGCCACTGGGCCATTCTGCTTGTCAGAGCCAGGCGCCCTGCGTGTGTACGTGTGCCGCAAATCCCCAGCTTAGGGCCAACTTCAGTGGCACCGTCCTTTCGTCCCCCCCTCTCTCTGCCTGGGCACCTGGGCAGTCTTAGAGGCACAGTGGCTCCATGTTGGGCTGGGATCCGCATGGTCTCTCCAGTTTGAAACCGCCAGTAGCTCGGGTGGAGAGAGACGGCTTTCTACCCCTGTGAACAGCTGCAGTCTCGGAAACTCACGAGGGGGCTCTGCGAGTCAGCACGGGCTCAGTGGCAGCGCCCAAGAGCCTGTGGGCTAGTTCTCCTCCCTGAGCTGTGCTGCCGGGAGGACATCACAGGTTCCAGGACCCCCGGGGGCATCTCTCTGCCCACCCAGTCTCTGTGCCCTTCCCCCAACCGTGTGTGCCTGCTGCCTGTGTCTGCGTGCCGAGAACCTCCACTGCTTGGGTAATGCTGCTGCCGACACAGAAGGCAGGAGGCAGTAACATCACTTTCACTCACGTGCCTTCCTGTGGTGGTCTACTACCGAACTCAAATCTCTGAAGCCCCCTCCTCACCCCAACTGGGCGCTGGCACTGCCATCACCTCCAGCCCAGCCTGGGACTGCCACTCAGCAGCCTTCACGACCTGGCCACTCACAAGCCTCTGGCGGGTTTCTCAAGGTGGCCGGGCCCAGTCCCACCCAGCTGAGGAGAAGAGCTCCCACCACCAAGGGTCAACTGCCAGGGGCCCGAGGGACGGACGGGCAGTGGACAGCCAGCCAGGCGGTGTCCCAGACCTGGTGGGGGTGGGGGGAGTGGTCATCCTGCAGTGGTCATGTGCAGGAGTTCCCTGCACATTCGGGACAAGGAGAAATAGAACCCTCTAGCTCAGGGGTCTGCAAACTTTTAAAACAGGGGGCCAGTTCACTGTCCCGCAGACCCGTTGGAGGGCCGGACTACAGTTAAAAAAAAAAACCAAAAAACTATGAACAAATTCCTATGCACACTGCACATATCTTATTTTGAAGTGAAAAAACAAAAGGGGGAAAAACACCCGGCAGGATGGATAAATGTCCTCGGTGGGCCGCATGTGGCCCGCGGGCCGTAGTTTGAGGACACCTGCTCTAGAACAGGTGTCATGTGGTGGGTGCTGACAGGGCTCAGGGCAGGTTGACTGGTCACGGCAGCCTTAAAGCGTGTGCTGGACAGAGGAGCCACAGGGCACCAGCCCCAAGGTGGGAGGGAGGCGGAGCCCAGGAACAGAAAGAGGACAAGGGAGGTGTGTGCGGAGCCCCACTGTTGATGGTCTGGGGGAGGGGGGGCGCTCACCGGCATGACTGAGAACTGCATGAAGAGGCAGGAGAACTCCAGGGTGGCCAGCAGGTAGGTCAGCAGGAGGACCCTTGGCCGGTCCAGAGAGCCGGGGGGCTGGTCCTGGCCCCTGGGCGTCTCGACTGCCCGCATCCTGGCAGGCACTGCAGGGGAACTGGAAGAGATGGCCAGAGATCGCCCCTGCTGAGCCATCCCGCGGGCAGAGGGCAAAAGTCATGTTGGTGAGGTGTGCTGAGTCACCCGCAGGCAGGAAGCTCAGGCACCCACCTCCCCAGAGGAGCTCCCTGCCCCAGTCAGCCAACCGCCTCCAGCTCCGGGTTGGAGGGTCCCCAACACACATTGGTGTCCAGGTTCTCAGGCCCACTGGGAAAGGGGGGGGGGGCGCAGCTAAGGTGTGCCTCCATCAGGAAAGCATCAGCACCCCAATTTTAGAGGGGCTTAGGCCCCACACGAGGAGCTCTAGTGGCCCTGTGGGCTCAGCACTGGGCCAGGGAGAAAGATGAGGCAATGGGCTCCCATGCAGAGTTACAGCCTTGGACCCGTCCGGAGCTGTGCTACGCTGTCCTGGAGAGTGGCTGTGAGAGGGAACAGACTTGATGGGAAGGCCCAGTGGGGAGGAGGTGGCCCAAAGGCTCTGGTCAGGGTGGGGGCGACTTGACCCTGGGCCTCCCCCTTGAGCTGACAGTGCACACCCAGGAGGCCCCTGTCATCAGGGGCGCTGGGTGGTTACTGGGACTGAGGACTGGAGTTCTGTGGACCAGTCTAATCTGGTCCGGTACCAGGCCTGGGTCCAGAGCCAGCCTTCCACCCACCACCCTGGGGCAGACTGTCCCCCGCACCTGGCCCACCGGCCCGCGGTCAGATGCTTCAGTCGCTAGCACCTGGCAGTGCGCTTGCTTAGAGGGCAGACTTGAGGTCCGAGGGCCGCGCCGGGAAGCGTCTCAGCGCCAGGAGGGGGGCCCCGCCCCCACTCGGGGTGTGGGCGATGGGCGGCGGCGGCGGGCGCGCGGTAGCACCTCGAGAGGGTCGCGGCTTTCGCTGCGTGGGCACTCCAGTGCGGAGCCTGGCCGCTGGTCCGGCGAGCTCCGAATCCCGTCTTCCGGGGCTGCGCTGGCCCCGCCCCCGCCCCGAGCCCCGCCCCTTGGCGCTGGCACAGCCGGCCCGCCCCTCCCTCCTGCGGGGACCCAGGAAACTGAAGCTCCGCCCTCTCAGCGCTCCGTGGGGGCCGGGGCTGGTGTTGGCGGAGGGTGGGCATGGGCGCTTAGGTGGAAAAGGTGTACGGGGGTAGGAGGAGGAATTGAGGGAGGAAGAGGGAGGGAGTGAACGGAGGGCAGGGGTCGGGGGCAAGAAGGCAGGTGCAGGGATGGGGATGGAGGACTCAGGGGAGAGAAGGGGCAGGAGGGCGTGGTCCGGCTCCCCAGGCCCAGCGAGGGTCTGCTCTGAGACGTCCCCACCTTCCCCCTCCAGGGAGCAGTGGCCAGTACTTCCCACCACAGAGGTGGAGGCAGCCCGACTTTCTGATTCTGCTGGCTGCTCCCCCTGCACCCTTCCTGGGCCACTTCAGCCCTTTGCAAAGCCAGCACACACTGTCCCCAGCACCAGCTGGGCCATCAGAGCCACCTGACCAGGGCCTGCCTGCCCTTGGGCTCTGTGCTGTCTGCAGGCCTATCACAGCGGCCGGACTTCTGTCCTGCCTTGAGGTGGCTGCCCAAGAGCAGGCCTGAGGCCCAACTAAACACAGTCCTGGGCAAGCTGGAGAAGCAACCAGTGTCCAAAGGAGGGACCCAGGGATAGACAGGGGAGTGGGGACAGGGTCGGACAAGGGGGGTGTCCAGGGACAGACAGGGGACTCACAGAACAGATGGGGACTCAAGGGATGGACAGAGGCCCCCAAAGTCTGTCCCGACAGTTGACTGAGGATTGGCAAGGGTCCCCCGACACACACACACACACACACACACACACACACACACACACACACTGGTGTCATTTTGGGGAGGGGAGGGGACCTCTCAGCACAGTGTGATCGGGG